AAAGAACATTGCAAGAAATTGAAAACAATTTATTAAATCGCATTAAACAAGTGCGTGAAGCACATGCAGCACATGCACAAGATCTTACTCGCCTCTCAGAAGACATAATGAATTTGAAAATTGAAGGTAAAGTAGCTGAAAAGAAAATGCCTGAATATAAACGCCGATTTAAATTCTATCAGGAAATGCGTGCTTATATAGGAGATCTTGTTGAATGTCTAGACGAAAAACTTCCTTGCATTGTTAGTTGTGAGCAGAGATATCAAAATATCAACAAAATGAAATGATGTTTCTTGTTGAGAGGAGGAGACAAGATGTATCAGATCAAGTAAGTGCTGATAAAGTACGGAATAATTCAGATGAAAAATTTATGCAAAGGTGCGCTGAACGCGAGGGCAGACGAGCTCGTAGACGAAGAGCGCGTGAGAAGTGCGGGATACAGCAATCTCATGTGGAAGGAATGTCCAGTGATGATGAGATTCCAGATCAGCGAGAATTGGAAAATCGACAACAATTAGAAATTATCCTCTCAGATGTTTCTCAAATATTTGCTGATGCTTGTAAAGAGTTTGCATCTTTGAAAAGTGTTTTGGAATGCTTTGAAGAATGGCTTCGGGAAGATCCAGAAACATATGAGGATTCTTATGTAACACTATGTATTCCTAAAGTTATAAGTCCTTTATAAAGACTAGAATTAGTTGGTTGGAATCCACTTAAAAATACACATGATATAGAGAAAATGGAATGGTACAATATTCTGGCTTTGTTTGGATCACAAAGTGAAAACTCAGAAGTAGAACATAATGATCTCAATATGCTGATACCGATGGTTGTTGTTAAAATCATCTTGCCAAAACTTGTTGATATAATTGAATTATGGGATCCACTTTCATCTTCTCAAACATTAAAAGTTGTATCACTGATGAAAACTTTGCAAGGACTATCCAAATCTTACTCCTTCTTGTAAAGCTTTAAATCGGGTCTTCGAGGTGATCATAGAACGAATAATAAAATGGGCTATAGATCACGATGTTACATACCTTTAGTTCCAAAGCAAAATGAATTCTCTCAAAGGCAGTTTGCATCGGGAGTGAAACTGTTGCACAACATTTTGTCTTTTCAGGGAGTGATAGTTGATAGTAACTAATGAATTAGCATTTGATCTGCTATTGAATCGTTACTTAATTCCTATAATTCGTATTTGCAAGGCTGCAGATGCTGCAGAGAAATTGAAATGTGTTACTAATACTTTACCTCGAATATGGTTGCAGAGAACTGAGCTTGCTCAGTTCGAGCCTATTAAACAGTGTGCAACAAATGTAGCTCGGCAGCTGAGCAAATCTGAAACACAAGCTGTAGAAACTATAAATCATATAATGAAGACTCTAAATGTTTAAAATTTTTGTGACATGATCATCAAAATTTTTACTGCGGTTGGTATTTGTTATTCAGACTTTGTAGAGTATGTTATATGAAGGATTTTGAAATGTGTTTTGAGGCATGATTGTTGTTCCTCTTGCTCCAAAAATTTATTAAGGATTCCAAATTTTATATATTATATTTATAAATGTACCATAATAGTAGTATTGATGTTACAGATATCAAAGGAATTGAATATTTCTTCTTGATTTTTCTTATTTTATTTAAGGGGTTATTCTGGTCACAGTTTTAAAGGCAAAGAAACAAAATCTCCCTTAAATGAATATAAATAAAATCAACATACTTGTTAACCAATTGTTACTGATTTTTATCATGTAATAATTGTGTTTGAAGATCTTCATGTAATTAAAATTAACATACATTCATTGACTGCTTGCATTTTTTTTTACTTTTTTGCGTTGATGCTGGTACGCATACAACGACAGATCTCTATTCACATACACGAGGACTAATCACAATCGACCCGTATAGAAATGTTTTCATCGAGGGCCGTAACGCACTTCCGTTGCATTTGTACGGATTTACATCCTAGTCGCGCCTAAAGAAGTTTTACTTAAAAATTAAGCTCATTATTTATATACCATATTGTCAATTATAGTTAGTGCTATTTGAATTATATTGCATTATTGCATACATATAATTTTTTTTTCTTTTGTTTCAGGTGTATGATAAGTTGTTTAATTTTATCAACATAGAATATCGACTGGCATCTAATGTTTGATACATTACAATTTTGACTCTAAATGGAAATCAGATATATTTATCTAATATACCTTTGATGTGAAAGTAATTCAGTTAAATAATTCTATATATTATAAGACTTCATAAATAAGTGTAGTAGATGTAAAGTTGTAGCAGCACTAAACTAACTCTGAATATCATAAATATTTTCAAAAACAATATCTTTTTAAAATGATTTCAAAAATTTCTCGCTTTTTTGTGCGCAATAAAAACAAACTAATAATCACTGGTTGTGTGGTTGGAGGTGCCATTCTGGCCACAAGATATGCTCATCGAAAGCTGCGTGCTTGGCAAGAGAAACAGAGTTTAGAGTTCATAGAACGAACCAAGCAATCCCAACATTTTGATGGTACCGAACTCACTTGCAATCAAACTATTATGTCTTTAGCTCCTCAGTTATGTGAAGCAGTATGCAAATGTGTTATGACTGAAGACATAATAGCAGAACTAAAAACTAATCCAGACAACAAAGTTAAATTGTGGTCTGATTTGAAAATTCATGCTTTTTCTAAAGTTGCAAGTTTAGTTTATACTTCTTCCGTATTTGTTGTAACATTGCGTGTTCAGTTGAGCTTACTAGGTGGCTATGTTTATAAAGATTCAAAAAATGGGACTTGCAATGTTGATCGTGACATGCAAGCGCGTTATTTGTCTTTATGCCATAATCTATTAGGAGAAGGTGTAAGAGGAATATGTAAAATTATTGAAGATAATGTGAGGGGAGTACTCGAAAACATACCCTTAACAAAAAAAACTCAGTATATCAGACATTGAGCAAATATTTTGGTCAGTGCAGGCCGCTGTAGCAAAGGACCCGCGGAATCCTCTAGCTGATATAAGCAAATTTGTTCTTCCTACAACGGATATGAATTCACCTTTATTTTCAACCATGATAGCAGAGACTAGGGATCTTCTAGAGACAGAAGATGTAAAATCTTTATTGACTCTTGGAGTGAGTCAGGGATTTGCAACAATGATGGATCACATTGCTGAGAACTTTATACCTGAGGAGAAAATTGTTGAAGTTGAATTAAAAAATGAGTTTGTTAATATGAATAAATTACAAATACCAATGGCAAAGATGATACCCATTGTAAACGGTCTTGTAGGTAAAACCTCAGAAGTGTTAGTAGAGAAACTAATTGCTATTGATAGAATAAAGGTATTAGGGGCTAATGTTTATGAAACTTTTTGTCATTAAATACAACAAATGCAAATGTTTAATTATATTTTTTTATTTATAAGGTGGGAAACTCTCAAATCTTTAATGTATGGGATTTAAATACACATGTATATAAATATATATGGTAAAACATTTCAATATATATATATATATATATTTATATATATATATTATTATTATATATATATATATATATATATACGCATATGTGTGTGTATTATTTTTTTGCTATGTTAATCAGCTGAAGTATTTTAATAGGTATTGAAATAAGGAATAATGTACTTACTCTAGAATGTAAATTGTATTTTTAGTAAGTGACCTTATAAATGAAACATAAATCAACATTTATCCAATGTATATAAAACTGTAAATATTAAAAAAAACTAATACTAAATTTGTCATTATACCAAATATATAAATAATGTTTTCATAATTACATTGTAAATGAATACTATATAATTCTATTTGTATTGTAAACGTTGTCATGCTCAAGTTTGAAATGAATTATTTATTATAATTATTTATGAATATACTTTGTAAAACACATGACATGCTCTTGTTTTGATACTTTGTATGTTAATAGAACAAATAATCGAAAAATAATAGTTATTTTATAAGCTTAATTGTTATATTTATATACTATAAAGCTAAAAGTTGAGTTTTTAATTCAAATCATAAGATTTTAATGAGTATTTTTAATTTATATGATTAATTAATCTAATAAAATCTAATTGATATAATTAAGTCAGAATGCGCCGATTACTTTTATAATTAAATGGTGGCATAAATTATTGGGTATTTGCTAGTAATTTCTTTATTGATGCTTTTATGGTTAGCTGATGGAATTAATTTAATGAAAAATCTTTATGGTGGAAATTTTTGGGAGAAAATATTTTATTTATAATATTGTCGATGGAAAAAGGAAAGAATACAACGCAATATATTATCAATTGATATACATATATTGTTGTATTCTTTCCTGTTTTATATATTATTTTAATATATTTTCAATTTATTTAAAATGTATTATTTAAATGAGCCATGAACCGTGAAATTAACCATGAAGTTAGTCAATGAACCATAAAATTAAAAAAAAAACATCGTTAATTGAGAATATTTTGCTTTTTGAATTTATGAAAATGAACATATTTTGAAGACAAAAAATTAAAAACCTCAATATTTTGTTCATAAATCTGCAAAACAATTAGTTTTGTAATCCTCATCATATTTATTTCAAACATTCATTTTTATATTGTTGCATGTACTGTCATTCTCTACATCAACGACCTGTCAAACATCTCACAGTTTGAAAGATCATCATTTACAATGACAATAAAATTATTATAAAATTGCAAATACCAATTATATATTTAATACAACACAATAATTCTATTGTTAATTCTAAATCAAATTGTGTAAATAATTCAGTGTCATTTTTCAAAGGGATGTTTTCTTACATAACAGTTACATATGTACGAGCATGCGCGTTTTCAACCCCTCGCGAAATATATGGATTTTCCTTTAAGCATGTTGTTTTCCCCTTGCATTCATTGAGAAATGTGAAGAAAGGATAGTCGAAATGATTATTTTGTATTTAACAAAATAAATGTGAAAAGTGCAGAGGAATAAGAAAATTCTGGAGTTGCAGTGCAGTGTGTAAATTCAAGTGCAATGTTGGTTTTAGTGAACTTTGGAAATGCAATAAATAGTCAAATATTTGGCATTTGTTTTATACTGTGAGCTTAAATAACAGTTTTAATAATTTTTCATATAAATAGGACAATATATAATTTGTTACTGTGTGTTTCACAACCTAAAAAGATATGAATCAACGTGCATCGAGGTACATGTAGTACCGGCACTTAGTTTTTTATGTTATTTATTGTGAACAGTGATAAGATAAAAAAATTTATGTTTACTCTTAAAATTGAACTTTTTTTATTTGATTAAAAGTGTCAGTGAGATGATTTGGGTCGAAGGTGTTGTCAAAAATAAAAGAATTGTGAGCGTGTCAAATACAAAGTACAGCTGAGATGTGCACTTGAACAGGTAAATAATATTAATTTATTTATTATTGAAACATGCGTATTGAAATTGTTATTAAAAAACAATATCGTACTGTTATTTTACGATATTGTTTAATAAAAAAACTAATATGTCAAATTGTACCAACCGTATGAAATTTTGTAAGTGGGCGAAAAGGATATCAATTGTTTGTTTGTATTGGATATATTTGTTTGTTTTGATTAGTTTTGGATAAAAATCGACCGGGTGGTTTCTTCGTAGTTATAATTACAATTTATATAAATTGTCATATTTTTTTCCCGAAATAAATATCCTAAAATGTCATAGTCCTACGAAAAGTAGGGCTGTAGGGGACCTCAAAGCCATATGAGAAAAGAACAATAATGGGTTCGATTCTATAATTTTTAACTTTCGGAAAGAGATGTGTGTTTTCACCAAAAAATCCGATTAATTAATTTCACGTTTTCTTTATTCTCAATCCAAATTAACCCTTTCGACTCGGATGCCGCCGCTACGGCGGCAAAATACGTATTAATTCCTAAATTAACGAATGGAAAGGGTTAAATCAAATTTGGAAAAAGTATGTGCGTATGTGAGCCGATTTTTTACCTTCGTCGACATTTTCTTAAAAACAGCTGAACTGATTTCTAACAGAACTCATAAAATAGCGTTGCCATGGCAACTTATTCTTGGTATTAAAAATTATGAAAATGTTTATCTATTTGCTGTGCGCTCTGGCGTATTTTACATATAAACAAGCAAGGGAGAATGTTATGATAACTGCATCATCGAAGATTCTGTTACCATAAGATTCTTTCTTGCTTGTTTATATGTAAAATAAGAACAAGCATTATAGAACGTTGCCATGACAACGCGATTTTATGAGCTCTGCTACGACAGAATTACCCCATTATAGGCCATTTGATGTTACTCGATAAAGACTTGCGTTTGTCAGTTTTGTACAACTATCGGCCAAGACGTTTCTTTGTAATTATCAGAAAAGTGAGAAGTTTTTGTCCACTTTTTAGCTCACAATTTTAAATCGCATTTAAAAATTCAGCATCCATTTGAAAGATGCTGGTTTTTGGTAAAGATTGGCCGGGCAACTTCTTCGTAATTGTTTTTGGAAAATAATTTCTTTGATTATTTCGATGAAACTTTGTATGGCAGTACATTTCGCAGTATGAAATAACATACAAAAATATTATAGGCCTACAATAAGCGGTTGAATTATAAAAAATCGTCAAAGTTTGGAATCGCGCCGCGCGCTTGAACGATTCTAATTGGAATCTATGCTAAGAAAATATATACAATCTGCTTTGTGCAGCTACATTAAAAAACATTTTTAAAATACGAAATAAATGAAATGAAACGTGTTTAACAATTTAATTTAATTTATACAAGATCAATCAATTGGATATCAATTAGAAATCACATTGATTATTGTTTATTGCAATAAACAGTTAAACATTTTATCTAAATACGAAATCGTAGCTGAATCTCCTAATTCTTATCTTTTAAGTATACGTATTGGGAAGTTCATGAGACTTGCCTCAAGGCAAAATGTTACTCACAACTTATTTAGTAATAATCTTTATAATATTTGTCCTAGCATTAAGCCAATGTTATATTACCGTTAGATATTTGCATTCTAAATAAGACTACAGTTCAACGCAAATCACTAAATATATTCTTTTTTTTCTTATAAATTACAATGTCTATATAGGAAGAATAACATTGAAATTTAAAAGGAAAACCCAGTGGTTCACCTTTTATTATTGTACTAAATTATGTCTAAATTAAGCTCTGGTATTATAAAAAAACTCAAATAAATGACTAAATATGTTTATTAAATGTTTCGAACTAAAATTGATATAATGTTATAATTGATGGTGCATTTATTGTCTATAAATTTCTTATAAGTTGTGAGTTTCATTTGAATTCTTTTTTTTTGTATATTTGTTCAAAAAGAAAATGGCTATATACTATCTATAATAACACATATAATCCATTGATCATAAATGAAATATAATGTGAACAAAAATAGGCGGTTTTCCATTTTGTTTTTAAATTTTGTATATACGTTCAAAAAGAAAATGGCGCACCGACCACATACATTTTTTGCTTTATACGAAAAAAATGTTCACACAAGTTATTTATCATTTATGTTTGCTAATATCATTATTATCTTTATATATTTATTCATATTTATATTTACTTGGCAAATCGCATTAACTCACCGATAAGTATGCATAATAAACTTAATTATTAGGAATTAAATTTCAGCTATTTAGGTAATATGTTCAATTATTAGTAAGAAAATGCGATAATCAATTGATGTCTTTCAAACATACTTATAATATCTATATTTGTATAAAATGATTTAATTTGTTCAACAGATTTTATTTAATTTATTTTTAGTTTTTCTAAAAATTTAGCTATAAAATTGTATTTTATTGTAGCTACCTACAAAACACAAGTTGTATATATTTTCTAGGCATAGATTTTGATTAGAATCCCTTAAACGCGCGGTTAAATTCCAAGCGTTGGTTAATTTTTACATTTTAACCATCTATAATAATATTTAATATGTTAATTTAATATTTTAATATGTTATTTCAGACTATTAAATCCAACTTCAGACAAATTTTCGTCAAAATTGACAAAATTTATAAAACTTATATTTTTTTCAATGTAATTACGAAGAAACGGCCAGGCCAATCTTTACCAAAAACTAATTAACGCGATTCCCAATCAATACATTTCGAATAGTTTTTGAATTTTTAACATCGGTTCAAGATTGTGGGCTAAAACAAGGACTAAAAATTTTACATTTTTCTGCTAATTACAAAGAAATGGCTTGGTCGATCGTCACAACATAAACATATAAACGATAGACCTTGTCGAGTTACATCGAATGGTTTTAAACTCTTAAAATCGGTTTAGCCGTTTTTGAAAAACGTCGATGAAAGGTAAAAAATATTCACATTCTTGTACAAACATGGTCTCATTCGATTCAGAATGACTTGAAACGTCGAGAAAACATAAAATTAGCAAACCCAGTTTTTTGTCAAAAACTTCTTCGGGGTGTTAAAAATTGGATTACAAGCTCAACTTTATTTTTACTGTAATTTGTAATTTACCAGTTTATTAATATAATCCACAAATACAAGGTCGAAAACCTCTGTACGAACAACAAATAAAGATATTACCGTTCGAAAGTGATTTATTTTCTGAAATAATCATAACACCGAACTCAGTACAAATATTAGTTAGTTAGTCATTTAAAATTACTCGACAAAAATCGTCAGTGTGTTAATTAAAGCAATTCAATGCGTTCAGTTGTAAAAAAACAACCGGGATTGTTAAAATAGAGTTTTACGTAATATTGTTGTAAATAATTTAAATAATGACCTAAAAAATAATTGTTAGTGCTAAATATTATTTGAAAAAATGTTTTTTTGAATATAATTATAAAATATTATGGGTGCATTTTAAATTCATCGTGGTGAATAATGAATGTTGATAAAATGGCAAAATTTAAAATTAAAGTATAATAATCAAAAAAAAATTTTTTTCTGTATTTATTATTATAAAATCATGGTGCCATCAAAATGGTTTAATTATTTTGTGATCCTTTAATTTGAATTAAAATTCAGCATGGTTAGATTTTTGTATCTATTTGTTTTTTAAAATTAGTCGTTCTTTAATATATTCTCTATATAATTAGATTTTTATTTTCAAACTTAAAGTGTTAAAAATTAAGTCGTTAATTTCGAAAAAAAATTAATTTAATTTATTGTTAAGTTTAATGAGTTTTTGTAGTCAGTTTTTCTTTAAAATTAATACATAAAAAGTTAGATTATCATTTTCAACCTTAAGGGTGCATAAGTATTAATGAAATAAATTTTTGATTTTATTTTTTTATTTACTCTATTATTTCTTTAATTATCACAATAAATTTTAATTTCTTAAAATTATTTTATATAAATCAAATATTATCTAATTCAATAAATTATATTACAAAAATTTTTTTAATGATAATATTTTTATCAATAGGAGGTTTACCCCCATTTTTAGGATTTTTCCCCACTAGACAACTAGAATCCAATCAGAATCTATCAGATAAACTTAGAATTTTACGTATTTCTTGCTTTAATTAAAATAAAGATCAAATCAAAATCTTACATATTTTTTGTTTCTTATACAAAATATATTGGTCATAAATTGGTTTTTAGAAAATTTTATAGAATTATTAAAAATTTGATTTTTGTTTTCAGAATTATCAATTAGTTGTAATAGTAATTGAATATTTAATATTTCTACAAGTAATTCTAAAAACTAATATATTTTGTATAAAAAGCAATAAATATTTAGAATTCTAAGTTGATCTTTATTTTAAAATCTTAAAGCAAAAAATATGTATGATTCTAAGTTGATCGGATAGATTCTGATTGGATTCCATTTGTCTTTTATGCCTAATATTTTTGTTTTTGTATATATTTACAGGAAGTATTTAAAATTCAATTTTTGAGTTTTGGAATAATGCACATTTAAATTTAAAAATATAAATCTATTCACTTTGTATTAATTTTGAATAAGACCGATTTTGAATAATTTATATTATTAAATATATTAAAATATAGTGATATTTTAAATAATTAGTGGTGCGTCGCATCGTGCCAAACTATTGCTGGAACTTCCTGTAACAAAAATTAAAATTTTTAAAAGCGAATAATTTTTTTTAGAACTCTGAAAAAATCCATTTTTGAGATTTTTTAAATTTTGAAAAAAATTGACCTTTTTGGAAAATTTGATTTTTTATACTTTGAAATATTTTGGAAATTTTTAACTCTTTTTAAAGCAATTTCGATTCGTTAGCTACGTAGAAACAAAATATCGAAGCGCGTGGGCGCTGCGTTGCAGTATAGCGGATAAGTATCATATCACTGCCGAATGGCATTTTTTTAACTTTTTAATTCGATCTCCGAAATCGCTAAACCTGCCTTCCCAAACATTTCTTCATCTTGTCAATATAAATAATATTTTTTTTTAAATTATTAAAATCGCACGCTCTGTTCTCTTAAAAACTGAGTTATCATTTTTGGCAATTTTTGCCCCGTATCTTCGGAACGGCTAGACCTGCCTTTGCTAAAAACTAATCAGCGCGTCTCCTCATTCATACGAATCGAATATTTTTTGAATTATTCAAATCGGTCGAACCGTGTTCCCGAAATCGTTGACGAAAAATTGTATCCGATACACACACATACATACATCAATTTTTTGTAAGGTATGCCGAAATGTTCAGAAACCTCTGAAATGAAAAGATATATCCAAGTTTTCATTTTCGATTTTGTTTGCGATTACTATAACTTGCCCTACGGGAAAATAATTAAAAAGTCATTTAAACAAAAATTATCATAAATAACATTTTTAGATTTGTTTTTTGAATTTTAAAGTAACCTCATTTGAAGTCAATTATTTTTTATGAATATTGAATATTAAAATGGTAACATTGGCGAAAACATATTCATGACATAAATATAAAAAATAATCTTATCATTGAATAATGAATATAAATAAAGAGAAATACGTAGAATGCAACCTTCTTCAATAAAATCAAATAATACTTTTATTTATAAAGCAATAATTATTTTAGTTTTTTTTATAAAATTGTCGATAATATAGCAGATTATACTTAAAGTCTTTTAACAAATTTGTAAAAAAAATCGGGCAATTAGAAATAGAGTTTTTCACCTAAATTCGCCATTAGATCATTGAGTCTTTATATGAAGTCCCAAATGGCTCTATATTTCGAGAAAAGCAAATACAATGTTTGTTATATAATATTATATTATATATGTTATAAAAAACTAATATCCAGATCATGCATTAAAATAAAAATAATAAGCCAATAAATTAAATGTACAACTTCTTCAATTGTTCCATCCAACCATCAGTCAGCAAAATAATAAAAAAGATTATTTGTGTGTTATAAATTGAAAACTAACATTACATAACTAATAAAATATAAATTATTTGATTTAAAGCTTTAAATACGAACAGTTTTGAAAAACAATACAGTGAAACGTGACAAAAATGAAAAGTGATATGTTTGGAAAATATACTGAAATGCCACAAGTTTTATCAACAATGGTAAGATTATTATTATTTTATTAAGCACACTCATACACCCATATTATTTTTTCAATTTTAGTGTTAAACGATTCAGAATTACCTGAAATATCTTAAAATCATTTTTTAAGATGAAACTTAAGGTAAGTTAACTTTCGGTATAAAAAAGATAAAAAATACGGGTAGGTAAAGGTAGTTCGTAATGAAATATGAAAAATATTTCAGAAGATAAAAACACGGATCAGTTAATATAACATCGAGTGCTCGATGTACTTTTTTATCTGGAAATTTAATACTATTTCCTTATCAATTAGATACCTAAAAACCGTATCGCCACATGGCCCATTAATCTGATATTACATGATTCGCCAACATTTAGTAGTAAAAATTTTTGATTCTTGTGAAACATTTTTTTGTGATATTACTAAAAAAAATCAGTTTTTATAAAAATTTTAGTTTTTTGAAAACTTTTGATAAATAGACTTTTTTGAAAATTTTGAAAATCATTCAAGATGGTTGATGGTCGAGGATATAAGTGAATTTTATCTTGCTACGGTCTCCAAAAAATTGGAAACAAAATTTATACTTATTATCAAAATCTCTATAAAATATCATATATTTTGATACGCATATGCCAAATAATCATTTTTGACCGCCAAATGGCATTTTAAAACATTTTTTCTTTATCTCCAAAAACCGTTGGACCTGCCATCTAAAAGTTAAGCAGCGAAATCATTCAAATCCGGATTCGGACTCTTTATTCTCTCAAAGCCTGAATTGCTAATTTTTTGTCCCATATCTTCAAAACTGTTCGACCTGTTTTTGCCAAAAACTAATCAGCACGTCTTCCCATCATTAGGAATCGAATGCGTTTTGAATTATTCAAATCAGTTGATTCGTACTCTCGAAATCGTGAACGAAAATTTCTATTCAAATACACATACATCAATTTTTCCTAAGGCATGCCAAAATGTTCAGAAACCTTTGAAACGTAAAGATATGGAAAATTTTTCATCAACGTTTTTTTTACCCCGAGGGAAAATTTTCATCAACGAACGATCAAATAAATTGTATACCAAATATAATACAACTAGCACATCATATAAAAAAATAAGTAAATCTTGGATTAAATCTATATTCAGGTTAATTTATGTACACGAATATTATGTGTGAATTAACATTTTATTATTAAGTAAATTATCTCCATATTTGCCTTAAGGCAATGCCATACATCACTAGTTTTTTTTAATTTTTGTATTACTTATGTTAGGCGAAGAGAAAAGGAATTGATCATATGATTTCATCATGCATTATTTGTAAAGATGTTTCTAGAAATTAAAAAAAAAATAATATCTAGAAATTTGAATAAGTTTAAAATCTCAATGTTTTTATATAATTATAAAATGTAAAAAAATTATTAAATAAATTCAGTACGCGAAATCCCGGTTATCAACCTTCGAAATAAAATATGAAATTCAGTCCATCACATGAATGACATTGTGGGTCTTTTTATTATTTTTTCATTTTGTAATTAAACGAACATTAAGATAGTTTAAATAAATGTATTCATGTGTGGTCAAATAAATTGTTTTGTTCCAATAAACATTATACATTTTTTGTTCTAATTTTTAATAATTGAGTGTGAAGTATGGTGATTTAAACTTTTTTGACTATTATTGTTACTTTTCTAATTTCATGTTTCCTCGACGTTTAAAGTCATTCAGAATCGAATTAGACCGAATTTGAAAAAAGTATGTGTATGCGTGTGTGCGGGTCGATTTTTGATATTTGGTTGAAACACATGTAAAGTGATGTGGATGCAACACATGTAAAGTGATCTTAATTAAACTTTTATGCTCATTTTATCTAAAAAAAATTGCTTAGGATTTTTTTAATATATTGTTCGGATAATCCTAGATTATTCTATTTTCTTCGATAGAACGTACACGTTCTAATAATATATTTCAAATTAATTATCTTTTGCACTAGTTTCATCACAGTTTGCTTTTCATAGGTTTTACTATACTTCTTATTTTATTAAAATTTTCCTCAATTCTTGAACCGTGTTATACGAACCCGAAAGTACCGCGTTATGTGGGGGATGGTCTCAGTTCTTAAACCGTGTTAGAGCGAATTTGCGAGCGAGTTCTAGAAGTACCGTGTTATGGGGGGTACCAGTACTAAAAATGATAAGCAGTTGAATTATAAAAATTTATTTATTTAAGTTTAGAAATATTTAGTATGTGCTTTATAGATAATATTAATCATTTTATATAAATTTCTTATTTATTATTTTTCAAGGAGTTTGATATGTTGGCCCGCCTGAGGCCGCGCCGCTACTTCGTGGCGGTGCTGTGCCTGGCAGTGCTTCTGTTGGTAGTCCTGAACGTAGTTCATAGGGATTTATGGAATTCAAAGCCGGCAGTGTTTGTCAAAGATGCAACAGCAGTCCAGCAACAAGCACTGAGTCAGCAGCCGAAAGGAAAGGTAAAGCCGGTGAGTGAAAATTATAATACATTAGAAATTATGGAGAAATTCCAATAATAATAACTACTTCAGTATGTTAGAGGGTAGAGGAACTAGGGGCTTATTGAAAAAGGCGTAAAAAATATTTCCATCTGAAATTAAAAAAATTAATAGCTGCAAAGAGGAAAGCTACGCGAAAGTGGTAACAAACTCATTGGCCTTCGGGAAAAAGTAGTTTTAACCAAATTAAGAAATAAACTGGTGGTGCATGGCATCGTGCCTCAAGGCAAATTACTGCAACTTCCCGTACCGATAACTAAATTGTTGAAAAAAAACTTCGCAAAACTTTGAAAAAATTAGATCTTTGAGAAATTTTTGAAATTTTGAAAAAAAAAATGACTTTGGGATCGTTCAATTATTACGTAAGCAGATTTAGTACAATTATTTCCCTCCCCCCATCCCCCTCTGTCAGCAAAAGTAAGCAAATCTGTCACCAAAATGTCCCCAAAATAAGAAATCAATAACCCCCCGTCCCCCTATAGTGCTTACGTAATACTTGAACGGTCCCTTTTGAAAACTTAAATTTTTTTATATATTGATTTTTTGTATTTTGATTGTTTTTGAAAATTTTGAACATTTTGTTAAGCAATCGCTCTGCATAGCTGATTTGGAGTCGAAATGTCGCGGGTAGTCGTCTAAAGGGTAAACATTAGTACGGAACCCATATAAATGTACACAAAAATTGTACTTATTATTATAATGTTCATAAAATATCTGATAATACGATGTATATAAGTCTAATGTTGATTTTTGACCGCCAAAAGGCATCCATTTTTAGTTTTTTTATTCGAACTCCGGAGACGCTGGATCTGCCTTTACAAAAATTTTACCAGTTGTTCATTTTGTCAATAAGTAAAATGCTTTCTGAATATTTAAATCGAACGCTCTGTTATTTCAAAAACTAAAATACCATTTTTGGCACCGTTTACCCCGTATCTCCAAAACGGATAGACCTGCCTTTGCCAAAAACTAATCAGCAAAAACCATAAAATATACCATAAATACTATGAAATATTCGTAGAAGTGCAATTAAGCATGATTATTGCTACAATGAACATAAAATTTTAGATAAATTAATACTAAGAAATATTGATGAATATTGCCTAAATCATTGTTTAACGATTACAATAACCATAAAATGCATTTAGAAATTGATATGATTCATGTCACTTTTATTACTACTATGAGAATAAAATTTTAGTTAATTCCAACAAGTACTGTCTAAATTATTGTTTAACGTTAACAAACATACCATAAAATACATTTGTAAAAATTGATATGATTCATGTAAATATTCCTAGAAGTGCGATTGAATATAACTTTGTAAATACTCATATCTAAGTATAAACACATTTGAAAGATTCGTTTGATAAATAAGTTTTTTAAAGCTAATTTATAAATTTATATTAAATAAATATTTTCAAGGATATATATATAGAATAACTTTTTTGGATAACCATATATATATATATATATATAAGATATATATATATATATAATAGATAATATTATATATATAATATGGTATCCAAAAAAGTTATATATATATAAATATTGAAATATTTATTTAATATAAATTTATATATATATATATATATAACTTTTTTGGATACCAAGGTTTAGTTTAGTTGGTACTAATAAATATTGATAATGATTTTCTCTAAAATATTTACAAAATGTTGGCAAACATACTTCAAAATATATTTCAAAATTTGGCATGGTTTAAAAATATATCATGGCCATATGTTTTGGTAAATATATTATTAGGTACTGCTCTATATTTTGTTTATGTTAAAAAAAAAATTGAAGTCATTTGCAGGATCGTGTCTTCTTTTAATGCATTAAAGTATGATAAAATATAATTTCTTAAAATTTACCTAATTTTCTTAAACTATGTATATAATAATCTGTATTATTCGTTCAATATTGTATAAATATAGTTTCGGAATATATTTTTTTCCTTTTTTTATTACAATATCTGTTACAACTGCTAAATAATATAACATCGAATAATAACATAAAAATAAATAGAATTTGGAATATAACAAAATTATTCAATAAATATTTATTATTGAGGATGTATACCCTCAAACTCATTATATAATGTAAATAATATAGTTTTTCTAAATATTTATTTCCAAATTTATTGTATTTTTCAGCAGCAGACTGACCAAGAAAATGAAAATGCGGATGAAAACTATAGTATCCCAAAATCATTTGGATTAGGAAACGAACAGAAAAATGAGCTCGAAGAACAATTAAATCAAAATGAATTTTCACAGGTCTGTAGAACATTCAACATTTAATCTATATGGTGTCTCAATATGTTACCATTCCCATGCATCATCATCCACATTTTTTTTAAATTTAATATTTTTTTCAAATGGTTTTAATCATATTTTTTCAGCCAGTTAGTTTGACCGAGGAACCAATAGGAGAAATTAAAAGACCATGGTACATGAGTGGTGGCAGCGTAAGGCCTGTATCACGAAGGATTTCCAGGAAAAAACGCAGACTGACTAGATTATTTCCATCACAAGATTCTTCCGGTAATGTTAAAAATAAAATATTTATTTAAACCTAATAATATTTTTTTTAATTCGTCATATTATTCATATCTATCTATTCAGATCGCATAACTAACCAGTTAATGCACGTTCCTGATACTTATGATCCTGATGGTGAAGATTTGAAGACTATTTTACTTTATAATGGGGCTGGAGCTTGGAATGTTCAACTTGGACGGGAGCAGTTTCTTCAAGCTCGTTGTCCAGTAAGGAAATAAAATATCATAATAATAATATATATAATAGAACCAAATAAGAACAGTTAAATACTATTTTATCAGGTTGATAGATGCCGGTTGAGTGTTAATAGGGATAAGGCGCAACAAGCCGATGCCATTCTGTACAAGGATCATTTTACACATCCAGGATTTCGGAGATCTCCGGAACAGGTGAAATAATCCAGGGTTTAATATCACATAGCAGATTTTATAAGAATTTGCAAACCCCATGTTTATTCAAAACAGTTAATTATACAATCAGTCCCTATATTTTTATTAAATGTTTTCTTTTCAGGTTTGGATAATGTATTTTCTGGAGTGTCCTTATCACACACAACATATCAATTTTCCGGACGTTTTTAATTGGACAGCAACCTATCGTTATGATAGTGACATCGTGGCCCCTTATGAACATTGGGAATATTATGACCCTAGGGTCAAACAGGTATTTTTTTTAAATATTCAAAAATCAAAATTATTAGGTGTTATTTTTGACTTTCCGTAGGGTATAGTTCCAAAAATCGAAATGCAATATATTATAGTCAGTTCCAAAAATCGAAAATGCAAATTTTTGCATATCTTCATGTTTTAGAGGTTTCTGGACATTTTGACGTACCTAAGAAAAAATTGATGTGTGTGTGTGTTTTGTGCGTCCGCAATTTTTCGTCCACATTTTCAAGCGCACGGATCAACCAATTTGAATGGTTCGATTCCTATTGATGGGGAGATGTACTGCTTAGTTTTTGGCAAAGGCAGATCCAGGCATTTCGAAGATACAGAGCTAAGTGCGCAAAAAATGACAGTTTTTGAGAGAACTAAGCATCCGATTTGAATGATTCAAATAACATTCTGCTGTGTTGACGTAACAATTGCTTTTGAAATAAAATATTTCAAAATTTAAAAAAAAATCATTTTTTTTAAAGAAAGCTGACTTTTTGAAGAAAAGATTGAATTCTGTTTTTCTGTCTTGAGTCTTTATCGCACCACTAGAATTTTTTTAGAAACATATAAATACCCATTTTAATAGAAAAAAATCAATAATTATTAATTAGTAGCCAAGAAAATAAAAGATTGAGTATACTCACTAAATTATTTTAAATGCACTATATTAGGATAAAGCAAGGCTTAAAGGTCCGCTGGTAAAGCTTAAAAGTCCACCATTAATATCTCAAAAAAAGTAAAGTTAAGAATTTTTTAACAACAATATTTGAAAGTAGGGGGCAAAAGAAATATAACCTGCCATCACCTTCATTCTTACGACATTGCTATTATGAGATATTTGGCAATATTTGTAAATCCATAACAAAAGGTTTTTATTTCGTTGTTAGTTTTTCTGATAGTGAGCACTATTGTTTAGTTTACGAAGCCTTAAATAGTCCAGTCATTTAAGCTTAAATTAGATAAGAATCTCAGAATTCGAGATAGCCAGCTGTAAGTCTGTAAATACTTGTATATAAACATTAAAAAGTTGTCTCAAAACCTACATATGGTAGCTACACCCTACCGTACAGCTGGGTATATCGAATTCCGAGGTGAACTTACTATAATGACTGGACTATAATATAATTTCTAAGTGTACTTTATTTAATTGTTTTATAAGATGTATTGTTAATTTTACAAAGATTCAACAGTTTTTTATATGATGTCTATAAAGGCTTACACGTGATTGGGATAAACAGAACTAACTGAACCTTTACCCTGACAAAGGTGTAAATGATAAAAAATAGTAAATAAACAAGTAAAATGAATTCAAAAAAATTATCAGAGATAAATTAGTTATCCAACTCTGCTGATGAATATTTTTGATTAAATACCAGATCAAGGTTGTATACGGTGTTATCTCAATGAAAAATGTGCCCATGAAGTTTATATTTTACAATGGTTAAATAATGTAGCTATTATTACTTTGTAAAATCTCTTTAAAATTGAAAATAAGATATTATTAAGATTTTATTAGACCTGATTGGCCGTCTCATTTTGTCCCGCCTAAGGGGTAAAAAGGGCGAGGTGACAAATTTTTAAAAAACAAAAAAAAAACGTTCCTACAATTATGAATTGTAGCTGGGAGTTTTACTGAACATAGTCAGATAGTTGTTTGTTTGATATGTGTTATTTGTGGTTATATAATTGGTTTAGTTTTCACATTATAAATGCTCAAAGACAAATTGGAACCTTGTGGCCCGCCCTACCCTACTGATTTTTTTCTTTTAGCTATACAACCTGCCGACCTATGTCTATTGAATTACTTTGATTATCTTCTCTTTAATTTTAATTATAGGTTTTGGTTTAAATTATAGGTTAAACATATGGAACGAAACTATGCAGCTAATAAAACTAAGGCTGTAGCTTGGTTTGTTTCCAATTGCGGAGCAAGAAATGGCAGATTGCAATATGCACATGAACTGCAAAAGTATATACAGGTAAGATAATTTATTAGTAAATACATTATTTTCATTGCTCATCAGTAATGATTTATTATTATTATTTATTACTATTTTTAAGGTGGACATCTATGGAGCCTGTGGTACTATGAAATGTTCCAGAGCAAATGCCGAAAGATGCTTCGAGTTACTCGATAGGGATTACAAATTTTATTTAGCTTTTGAAAATTCGAATTGTAAAGATTATATTACTGAAAAGTTTTTCGTGAATGGACTGGGGTAAGTAAAAAATTACAAATTCATAAATATTTTGAAGCAGTTTTTTTTTAAATCTTACAATTATTATTATTGATTTTTAATTGACTATTTTATTTAGCCGTGATATTTTACCGATTGTGATGGGGGCTCGTCCGGAAGATTATGAAAGGGCTGCACCTATGCACTCTTATATTCATGTCGATGATTTCGAAGGACCCCGTCAGTTAGCGGAGTACCTTCACCGACTCGATAGAGATGATGCTATGTATAATGAATATTTCAGGTAATTTTTAAAATTGTTGCTATTTTTATTACGATCGAATCCTGTCATTGACTTAGAGTTTAAGAAAAAATATATATAGCAGAATGTAGATAAAAAATTATCAGTGAGAATAGAAAATTACAGAATTCGAATAGCTTAGTAAGAAGAAAAAAATTCAAATCGGATGCTTTGTTCTCTCAAAAACTGCCATTTTTTGCACTTTTAGATCTATATTTCCGAAACGGCTCGACCTGCTTTTGCTAAAAACTAATCACCATTTCTTCCTATTTTTACAAATTAAGTGTTTTTTGGATCATTTAAATAGGATGCTTCGTTCTCTCAAAAACTCGATTTTTATTTTCGGCACTCTTTGCTCCGTAACTCCAAAATGGGTGGATCGACCTTTGCCAAAAACTAATCAGCACATCTCCCTATCAATAAGAATCGAATGTTTTTTGAACCATTAAAATCGGATGATTTTTGCGCCCGAAAACGTGAACGAAAAATTGTATCCATAAATACATACACACACACATTCATTTTTTCTTAGGTATGCCAAAATGTTCAGAAACCTCCAAAACGTGAAGATATGCAAAATTTTTCAATTTCGATTTTTGGACGATTACAATAACTTACCCTACGATAAGTTAAAAAAATGTATTTCGGATTAAACAAGTGGGTTACCCGACTTACGAGTGTTTCGAGATACAAGCCGCCAAAGAAGCAATTTGTTGCTTTGACTTACGAGCAAAATTTGAGATACGAGCTTTGAGCGAGTAAAAGTTTTCTAGACAAAATGTTGATGGCAAAATGAAAATATAACAAATTGCATCAGTTGTGACTATGATGATTTTACCATGGAAATATTTATCGTTGTTTTATGATAGCAATAATTATTATTTTATAGTTAGTCATTTTTATTATATATTAAAATTAATTTGTGCAGTAACGATTTGCTCACCCAAATATATCGAAGATTATTTTAACGTTGGAAATACCAACTTATATGATTGCCCAGTTATATATGCTGAGTTCGCGTTTTTTGCTTTTTGTACATTTACAAAATATTTATTTTATGAAAATGGGTCCAAAGAAAAGGACCATGTCTCTTGAATTAAAGCCTAACTTTATTGAAAAATATGAGGATGGCAAGAATGTACTGTGGTAAAACAGAAGGAGTATAACTTTGAGCTTAGGGACTTCTGAAAGTTTTGTGAATAAAATTTACCCTAAATGTCTATTTTTTTTACAATATAAATGGAAAGGAAAAAAACAATGATTAATTTAATAAGTAGTTAAATTATGGGGCAATTCTGCCGTAACAGAACTCTTAAAATAGCGTTGTCATGGCAACGCTCTCTAATGCTAGTTCTTGGTATTAAAAGTTATGAAAATGTCTATCTATTTGCCGTGCGATCGGGCGTATTTTACATATAAACAAGCAAGGAATAATCTTATGATAACTGCACCATCTACAATTCTGTAATCATAACATACCTTGCTTAAATTTTAATACATTTTAATGTCTTTTACCCAGGTGGAAAGGTACCGGTGAATTAATAAATACGTATTTCTGGTGTCGAATGTGCGCAATGTTGCACGCCGAACCACGCCAATACAAAAGTTATAGTGATATCAACGACTGGTGGCGAGGAAGAGGAATTTGCACTCTGAACTCTTGGAGAAACAGGGATCATCATGCACTTTCTAATAAGGCTCGTTCAAAATCACTTCAGAATTAATTTTTAGTAATTTAAATTAAACACCGGGATAGACATTCACCAATCATTTCCCATGCTAGATTTTACCAAGTATTTAAATGCAAGCGTACCAGTGATTAAATGCATTAATTTAAGCAATGAAAGTTCTATGGCCAATGATAATGTAGCAATACTGTGCGATTATAATTTTCACAAATCCTCCTGGTAAATGATTTTTTTTAAATGAATTGTTTCTACATATTAATTTTGGAGAAACTATGCTTTTCATTTATAAACCAACATCAAACAAAATGTTGTTTAAGCCTAATATTTATATTATTTTTGACAAAATAAGACTTTTATAATCTTAAAGCTAAAATCTGAAGTAGGCCAAATATCCTGTACTATCATTTTTGACCACAATTAGGGTTTTTATAATTATAAATATATTCAGCTATTTAAATGCGATGTCGGAAATTGTTTTGCATTTAATGATTTATATTTAGATTAATTCATATGTGACTTTTGAATGTATTTAGTAGTTTATGGACATCACATAAGTAGTCAAAATTTTGTATAAAATTATATGAGCCGTTGTCATAACAATCTGTAATTAAATTAAACCATAATTTTATATATTTTACAATTTGTATAGATAGATATTATTTTTCTTTGTTACGATATTAGATAATTTATATAGTGCCCCCGTGTAATGATGCACAATAGATGTACAAAGTATTCATACCAAAATGTTATTTATATTAGTTTTAAGTAAAATTATATTTGTATTATTTTTAGACTTAATTCATTTAGAATTTAAGAAAAAATATAGTCATGCAGAAGTATTCACGTTCTTAGGAAAAATGATATTGTGGACTGTTAAGATTAAATATAAAATTAATTAGTTTTTTGCAACTAAAACAAGCCTATTGAGAAAGTTTACTATTGAAATTTATTATTTTAAACTAATTGTAAAACACTAATATTTTTAAAGACATTCTGAAATAATACTTTATTACAGATTATTTACGATATACTGCTGATGAAACAAAGTATTATGTCCAAGATTCGCAGTTTGAAATTTGGAATATAAGTAACATCAATTTATATTATATGTACTCAAAATGAACACATTTCATTCATTTTATAGAAAAACTGTTTCGATTTTACTTTTTTACAGTTGATTATTAATTATGAAGTTTCAATTATCATAAGTACATTATTAAATATCTTTATATATTTTTGCAGACATGACGACTAATTTCTTACCTAAATCAACGTAATAAAGTCAATATTATTTAAGAGTAATTTTACAATCTAGTCGTAGTATGGGTATTACTTGGTTTGCATTGAATTAGTAATTATTAGTTTGTGATTTGAGAAATTGATTTCATTTAAATGTATATATGTAATTATAATATATAAATAGTACTTAAGGTGTATGTAAAATTTATTATTGAATTGTCATATTTTTTATTTGACTTGATTATTAAATGATTATGATAATTTTATGTTTTCTTTAGATGTTAACATATTGTTTTTATATTAGTGGGAGACAGTTTTAGTGCAAATTATAATTTTCAAAATTATATAGCTTAGACTATGCTGAAGAAAAACTAGATATAAAATTATTTTACTCATAGACTTTCTGTGAAAGTGATCAAATTATTTTATAAGATTTTATCAGCATTGAGTATTATCATAACACAATAAGGCACATTTGGCACTTATAACATCAGTAAAATAGTTTTAGTTATAAGTTTTGAAATTTGAATTTTGCGCTCTCAACTTCATGTTAAAGTTCACATCGCATATGGTGGCGCTGGCACGGTTACTTATCTATGGGCACGTACATGTTTACTTATCTATGTGTTGCAGTTTGTCAAATGATAATAAACAACTTCAAATCAGTAGCTAATGCCTCGGTGTTCAGTTCAGTTGACTGAGTCAGTAGGGGGCGGACGTCTGTTTCTTTTTTTTAAAAAAAAAAAAATATTTAACATTTATGGTATAGTACTAACTATTAGCACAATAATAAACAACTGGAGTAAATAATTACTAGTTAAAATTAGCCCCTTAAATAAGGTCTAAATTCTTTTATTTAAATTCATATTAAAAAGGCAAGTTGAAAATGTCTAGAAGAAGGCATAAAGTCAACAAAAATATGAAATCAGGTGAATGAACATCCATAGAAAATTAATTCTATTTTTATAATGAAAATATTTATAGATTTTAATATTTTCAAAATGTATATTTTGCCTAGAATTGTTAACCTATCTTTTTGTTGCTACTATTTTACTTAATTTGCTAGCCACATAATTTTAATGTCAATTAAAAACCCTAATTTGTGAATTCGTTCTCAATAATGTAATAATATTACAATATCAGCTCGTCTATGTATACTAAAAAGTTATCGATAACTTTACAATATCATTATTTTAGATTTATTATCATGATTAATAATTTTGAATATTTTCAGATAACTCTCGAACCAAAACCAGTGTTAAAAGAGGAAGCAAATATGGCAAACAAAACAAGAATTACGAAAGAACCTGCTTCAATTTTTTTTCCTTGTCAGATTTCTTAATCCATGAATCTAAATACAAGAATCTACTAACTGCGGAACAAACTAATATATTTCAAGATGAAGATTTACATCCTTTGGATCCAATCTTAATTAACACTTATAAAGATTTATTGAAGTTACCTGTTTTTATAAAAGACCAAAATAAATTTGATCGTGATATTGAGCACGATATTCAACCAATTATAAAAAATATAAAAAAAGAGATAGATTATTCCATTGAGAATGAAAGCAAGACTCAGATACAATCTCCTGATAAACAAACTTGCCTTGAAAGGTTTTTAGAATCTGAGATAAAAATCGAGTATAATACTAATGCACCAGATGAAAATAATTATTTTTTTAACAGTTTGTATAACAATACTAGAGCAAATGAATGTATTAAAATAGAAGCTTTTTCTGATGATGATAAAAATAATTATGACGAAATAACATCCGAGTCCAACTTGCTACATATACCTGACATTAAAAATGATTCAACAATAAAAATAATAAATACATATCATTTAGAGACTAATTCTAGCAATTTTCACAAGATACCCTATTGTTATTCGGAATCTGATTTAAATACTTTGGAAATGAAATATGCAAATAATGTTGTTATTCAAACAAACCATGATTATGATTCGGACATAAAAGAACATAGGGACATTTCAAAACAAATTTCAAATGATTATGATTGTAAAGAAATTAAGAAAGAACCAGATTGTAGTGATAATGAATTACATGGGCAAATTGAACTTGAATGCAATTCAGAAAATGTATATAAACTTCCAATCATTACTGAATGTTACTCGATTGACGTATCAAAATGTGTAAGCAATAAAATTATTTCCGATGAACAAAGCAATAATAGAAAGTTTCTTGAATCGGAATTGAATGCAACAGACTATAAAACACATCCAAGTCAAAAAGTGACTGATCACAATTCTGATAATGAAAGATGTATTAATATACATACAAATTCTAACATAAATCAGAATAGCGCAATCAAAAGAAAGGATGCTGTTTATAAAAGTCATTTCTATGACAAACGATATAAAGAGTTTGTTAGAAAATTTAATAATTTTCGTTCAAATGGTTTTGTTTCTAAGAAAAAACTATCTGATGAGAAAGTAAACAGAATGAGACCAATTAGGGAGAATATTCACAAAGAAACACTCAGTTTAAATTCATCATATAGATGTGATACATGTGAAAGTGTTTTTAGCGAAGAATTTTTATTAAATATTCACATTGAATCGCATAACACTGTAAAGCCTTTCAAATGTATAATTTGTAACAAATGTTTTGTACGGGAAGAATTACTTATCAACCATTACAATATACATACAGATGGAAATAAATATGAATGTGATCTTTGCTATAAAATAATTGTTGGAAAACCTGCACTAGAGTCTCATATCAGTACTCATTCTTCAAGTAAAACATAGAAATGTGAGATATTTGACAAAGTTCTTTCAATATTAGTCATCATCCCGGTGAACCACTCGATGAAAGCAGTAAATTGAATATGGTTTGCGAGTGCAATATTAGAACATTTCTATGAGATAAGCATCTCGAAGATGTTAATTTGGGTTGAGCATGCCAATCAAATTATAAACTGAAATTTGCATAATAAAATATGCACATGGGAATTAGAAGCATATAGTTGGGCTTTGGAGTAATGTGATAAAATCAAATGTAGGCGTTGAGTTTATAATATTTAGTAATATTTAATAGTAGGCCAATTGTACTGTTTAATAATATCGAAGCAAGTGACAGTATATTTTGATTATGGGAAATTCACTGCCTAAATTATTTAATATATTTATAACACATAACTGATTTATTTGTGAATGTTTGTATATAGACACTAATTTTAGAAAACCATTCAATGTGCTCACACACATCTCAAATGATCAATCAAATCTCAATGGTTATTTCTATTAAACTACTCCTAATTTAAATATAACTCTGCCTTGTATAAAACTTTTAGTAGATTGCTCCAAATGATACTTTAACGTAGAGATTGTAAATATACTTAATTTTAACCTCAGAAATAAAGTAATATAATTGAGTGCAATATAATTGAGTTATTAACTTGTAATTTTTTCAACACATTTTATCTAGTCATTCAAGTGTAAATTTTCACAAAAGATTAATTTTTGTAGAAAAGTAGTAACAATTCATTTCCTCATCATCACATAAATGAAAAAAAAATTTTTGCTTAATAAAAACAATAACTTATTATTTAAAATAACGTAACTTGAAATCATAATAACAGGACCGCCAACTGTAATAATTTCGTAATATTACATTGGTTTCATTGCAAACTTCAAGCCAAAGTAAAATCAACTTTCAAAGCACATACAGATAATTTAACGAAATTATTCTAATATATTATTTGAATTAAATTTTTTCATCATTCTATCCTATTTGTACTTTTTTTAAATTTTCATGTATATTTCGTCTAGTGACTTTTTCGACAGTTCAACGTGCATGTTGTAACGATGTTAAATATTATTATCGCCATGTAATAACGTTAGTGTTAGTTGTGTGTATGTGGTGCTACAAGAAGACAATTCCAGCTTAAAGGTTAGATTATGTAAACATAAGCTATTTTCCACATATACCAGTATACCACGTACCCATAATTCCACAATAGTATAATAATAAAAATGATTAGGGAACATGGCTGTTTGCAAATACAGTCATGTCCACAAATACTTGTAATTATTATAAATCATTAAATAGGTTTCTTGATAAAAGTAACCTATAGGTTATCACAGGTACTTTAGCGGACGAATGGAGTGCTAAAGTAACCCCTCGTATTGAGGAGCGATGCTATTATTATAATAATAACTAGAGGTTACCTCAAATCACCAATCGTTACAATATTGTTTCCAGTATATTTTACTAATCATGTCATTTATAAAGAAAAATCCTGATTTTTTTGCAATTTATAATATCCATTTGCATTTTGATAGATAATGCAATGATTTCACATATTAAACTGATGTAATACAAAGATTTTAGATATATTATGCATTTAACATAGTAACATGAATATGGAAACATGTAAACAATGTAAAATATATTTTCATTAATACCCAACATATGAAACATAACGTAGTTTCTCTTCTAGCTTGCATTGCAAATTAGGATTAATAATTTAATTCCATGATTCTCTTTTTATTAAAATAATTTAATTATTTATTTTCTAAATCTTGACATTCATTATATATAATTTATTGTTCTTATTATATTCTATTAAAATTCGAGTTTTTACTTATCTTATAGCATAGATTTTCCTGTCAATTTGAAAAAGATTCTTTTTGAAATATATTAATTTGCTTGTTATTATTTTATTCTAATCACCAACATGCAATACATGTTTATGCATTTTTAGATTACCAAAACTAGTCAGAAATAATTTAATCGTAAAATTTAAATATATATATAATAGCAAAGGCAAATTCAAGGTATGGAAATACCACATTTTTACTCATTTTCTCTTCCTTGCTTACAATTTACTTCTTTACATACATTTTGATAAATACACCCACTCACTAACATATATTTTTAAGTTCTGATGAGTAGCTACTATAATTTCATCCATTTCATCATAATATTTCTTTCACTCTAAACCTCAACATAAACATAATTGAATAAACTATGTATGAGTGTTTCACTTGCAACATTGAACTGATTTTATTCACGCAATGTTTGTGTAAAATGTTTTTTAATATGATTTGTTAATGTACGATTTTGACAAAAGGTTTTTTTGCAAACACTGCACTCATAAACTTTTTCACCAGTGTGAGTACGAAGATGAATACTCAATTGATACTTTTGTGTAAATGATTCTTCACACATATTGCACTCAAATTTCTTCTCCCCATAATGAGTTTTTAAATGTTTTGTATAATTTCCTAAAGCATTATATGCTTTTTGACATATTTCACAAACGTAAGGTTTTTCACCTGTATGAGAGCGCAAATGTATGGTCAATAAATACCTTTGAGAATATCCTTTCTTGCAAATTCACATTCAAAGGGCTTCTCTCCAGTGTGTGATCTCAAATGGCTTGTCAAATGACTATTTTGCACAAAGGATTTATGGCATATATCGCATTCATATGGTTTCATACCAACATGTAATTTTACATGCCGTCCTAGATTTCCTCTGTCAGTGAAAGACTTCTTACATATATCACATTCGTGGGGCTTTTCACCAGTGTGAATGCGCAAATGTGTAGTTAAATGAATTCTTTGAGTAAATGCCTTCTTGCATACATCACATTCATAAGGTTTCTCACCTGTATGCGTTCGTAGATGATATGTTAATTGACTACTTTGAGCAAAAGATTTTTTACAAATATAGCATTCATATCGTTTCACAACTAACTTAACTTTTCTTCGAGACACTTTTTCATTTTGACCCTTATTTAGGTTGTTAATATTGAAAAAACCTTCAGTGACACCACTAGTTTGTGGTGTACTATCATTTGTTTCTTCTCCAATTGTTGCAACACAGTTTTCAATTGGCATAATAGTATCATCATTAGATTCGGATGATTCAATTGTATTATCTTCCATATAAGTTTCTAAAGCTATGTTTTTATGTTCCCCATTTTCTTGAGATCTTTTATTATATGTTTCAGTATGGTCAGAAGTTATTTCTGTTTTGACAGCAGCTTGTGATCCTGCTAGAGTATTTGTTGCATTGTCTTCTATTTCTGTTCTGTTAATTCCTCTATCACGTTTTGACAAATCCTTTTCAACATCTATGGAAACAATTTCGGATTTAACATTATTAGCCATTATTACCTTCACAATTTTATTAATTTCATATACAATATATTAAAATCCGCATTAATTAATCATTAATAATAATCACAATCAAACACCAGGTGGGAGTTCTCTATTGTTCATATGTTTCATATTCGAAATTAATTAATTTTAATATTTTTGAAACATATAGTAAAAAAAAATAATTTTGCAAATCTGTTACATATTAGAACAAGCGTTTCATTAGTAAAATAGTTTGAATAGGAAAAGTACTATATTCAAATCTTTTCATACCTGTTGTTTCACATTTAATAAAATTGGAATCCTGACTAACTACATCGTTTTTTGACATTTTTCATGAAATTTATCAAAATTCTTCAATAACTGTAATTCAGTAAAAGTTAAAGATCCCATAAAAATGATCAGTTCTAATACATTTAGTTTCTTTCCTATTGTTTACTATTTATCTAATAAAGATACATGAAAATTGAATTAGATCAATAAATAATGACAGATGACATTTCAACAAATACAATATAAATACAAGATGGCGTTTATGTGTTAAAAATACAAAACAAAAAATTCAAATCAAAGTGAACTTAGATTATAATAGCATTATAAGTAATGAATATTTATAAATGAATGAATATTTATAATTTTTATTGAAATTTCTACAAATAATGAATAACTATAATAAAAGCAACAAAACATAACCAAAATAAAAACGAATTATGTTTTTGACATTTCAAGAAAAACATTGCGCTGCAAAATAATAATTTAGTGACAGATGCATAAATGACTATATTATATGATTTCAGTTATTTATGTAGTTAGAAGTTATATTTATTTTATAATTCTTTTAACGTCTTACGGCAATAGGTAACATTAATGCAAAATCAAAAATATCACTCACCACACAATGGCGGAAAGTACTGAAATAATAAATTTTGCCTTTGAAAAGACCCAAGTTAAACAAGAAATGATTGATCCTGAGGAAAATGCAGTAAATGTTAAATTAGAACCATACTTTGATAATGAAGTTTATTTGAAAAGATTTATGGAATCTGAAGTAACAATAGAAGAAGAAATCAAACATGAGTATAGTGAATTTGAAACGAATAACATATTGAATGAAATCAAACAAGAAAGTGTTGAAAATGAAAATATATTCCAGCCTAAGGAAAAATTACATAAGTGCGGAATCTGTAAGGAAACATTCAATTTGCTTGATAAAATTGCAAAGTTTTATCACACCAATTGTTTTCGTGCAGCCAAAAAAAGCTTATTCAAATGTACACACTGTGATAAAAGTTTTTCAACTAAAAATGGCTTGAATTGCCATATTAAATACCATGCAACAAAAACTTACAAATGTGAAACTTGCAATAGAACATTTGCAAATTGTATTTCTATGCATGTCCACATGGCCAAAATTCACGCTAGAGAAAATCAACACATATGCTCACTTTGCGATAAAGCATATTCCACAGGGGAGATTTTAAAAAGGCATATGAATACCCATATTGAAATGAGGGCATTTGAATGTATGTATTGTAAGAAGAAATTTGCAATAAAAAGGACCTTCGAAAGACATATTCAAATTCATACTGGGGGGCCTTTTTATTGCAAATTTTGTGATAAAACTTTTGGTGATATTCAGGAATTAAAATCACACATAACAGTTCACACCGAGGAAAGGCCTTATGAATGTAAACTTTGTGATAAAACGTATACTGGCTTGTATGGCTTAAAAAAACATATGAAACTCCATTATAAAGAAAAGCTTTTGAAATGCACTTTTTTGTAGTGATACATTTTTAGAAAAGGATGAATTTGGAAAACACATTCAGAAACACTTATAAAAATATATAATTTTTAATTATATCATGTAAAATGATAAGCATTGAACTACTGAAAGACTAATGTGGACTTTATTATTTTGTTCTTTATAGTATTGAGAGACTAAATATTTTTTTTTTTTTATTTCTGTTAATTTTAACAATCAGATTACAATACAATCTATAAGTTAAAAGTTATGGTATTGAAAATCAAAATCAAAAAGAAAAAAAAAAAATAGAATAAAGGAAATTAAAGAAAAGAAATAGAATAAATGAATGAATAAATAATAATTAAAATAATAGTATTAATAAAGAGACTAAATATGATAATATTCTGACATACTAAAGTTTCCACTGTTTTTTCTGATGATCATTTTGGTAATGAAATCATAGATGTTTACGATAATATAAAGTTGTACTTTTGTCACAGAAGAATGCAATAGAACTTTCAATCTAAATTGATAAACTGATTCAAATATTTTCCATTCATTAATTTATTGCCTAAACAAATATAAATAGAAATGAATGTACATGTCATTATCAATTGATAGTGTTTTTGTTTTAAAGCAAATAAAACATAAGATTTATAAGTGTCATATTGCCTTAAAAATAAAAATTATGTCTCAAGAATTATCATGCGTTCAAAAATGTGGCCGGTATAGTTTTATTACAGTTTGGTGGACTGTTTTCATAACTATAGCTGCTTTGATAGCCTACATATTATATACTATCGAAAAACATTTTTCAGCGCTTTCTATAGTTTTCAAATAATGTATTAGAGAGAGATGTTGATTACTGTTGAAGTTGCTCAGATCAAATGTAAGTCAATGAATGTGTGAAATGAGTAAGATTTTTAAACATAATTACTTGCAAAAATATCAGGTGTCACAAAATATGAAGTATGCAACAAGAACAAAGATAATAGAAAGTTATTCATTGAGAAGACTGAATATTAAAAAGCAAGTTGTTACAGTACAATGGGGCATGTTTTACATATAGTAATTTTAATAAATAATCAATGTATTATTTGAAATAAAAGCTTAAAGAATGATTAATTTATTTAACACTGGCTTAATATATTTAGATGTAAAAATCTTAATTTCAGTATGGACATTTTACAAAGATCAAACATTTGAAATTCTGTAAAAAATAAACATTATTCATTACGCATGAATGTATTTAATAATCAATTATATATAATTTATGATATTCTGATACAATTGAATTTTTTTAATAACTCTTCCAATGGATAGTTCAAATAAAAATCTAATACGCTGCCAAGTAACAAAACTATAAGCAAAATTTGAAATAAAATTTAAATTATCAAAATGTATGAAACCTTGCATATTTAAAACGTAAACTTCTGTGTGATTATATAAATATATTAACAAAGTTAATATTAACTTTCATAATTTCAAATAATGTCTTAACATAGAAAATTTATATATGTATGATATGATATCAGCATCAGACATAACTCAACTGGCAGTTCATTTACTAACAAAATTCTATTTACTTTTAAATTAATTTTATGGTGGATCTTCAAAAAGTTAGTTATTATCATACAGTGAACAAAAAATAAAATACACATATCTAATCGTTCACTTAAAACTGGAATGAGTAATATGTACTTTGTAACTTCAATATAGGCAGAACGCCTCACCGGGGATATAGCTCAGCCGTAGAGCGTTCAACTGATATGCACTGAAAGGTCCCAGGTTCAAATCCTGGTGTCCCCGTCATATTTTTTTTATTTAAATTTAAATAAATACTTAACAAACACTTCTGCCTATATACACAGTTTAAATTTTAAACACCACAAATGAAAATGCTTCTAAAAAGTAAAGAAAATTTCCATAAAAACTGAAAATATAATTGTTTTTATAGTTGGTCAAATTCATCAATCATTGACATACGAAAAATACATAAAAAATGTATAAAAACAACTTTAAATATTACTAAAAATCCTTCGAATAATTTTTGAATTAAAAATTAAGTATTACGCATTCAATAATATAATAGAGAATAGTTAATAAAATTAAATTATAGAGGAAATTAAAAATTCAAATTCAAATAAAAACATTTAGGGCGCCAGGATTCAAACAAGGAACCATTCGAGTGAAGTTGAACGTTAGTACCAAAATAATGTTAATGACAGTTAAATAAATCACATTAATTTATTTAACTGTCATTAACATTAAATATAAGTACATAGTAATGTAGTTATTGAATATAAAATGATATTATATATTATAAATTTGAAACAAATTCATATTGTTAACCATGGTAGATTTTTGATTATAAATCCATTGTAAATTAAAAAGACGTGTAAAGCGCAATGAATTTTGACAGTTACTTAAGTATTAATTAATGTCGATAAAAATCAAAATATAAATGTTTAGTGATCAATATACATATATATTTACATATAAACAAACGTGAAATGAAAAAAAAGTCTAAATCTTTAAATACTTAATTTGCTAATATTTATACTTTAAATAAAATTTGGTAGTGGTAGTGCAAACTTTGAGTAATTTTGGGAATTGGATTTTGTAGTCCTGTAAGTAAGCATTTATCTCTCATTTATACATTTTTTTTATTACATTTAAAAATTAGACCATTTAATAAAATATATAAAAGTGTCAATTGTATTAGTACTAGAAATAAATATCCAAGTCAGGTGAGCCGGCCGTATCAATAAGTAACAATTTTATAAATTTCACAAATAAGAAATAAAAAAAAGTTTCGGGGATACCAGGATTTGAACCTGGGACCTTTCTTTTCTGAATACAGCTGAATGCTCTACCGCTGAGCTATATCCCCAACAATTCAGAAACGATATTTCAGACTTATAATAGAACAATATATTTATAATGACTCATTGAATCATTCTTTATTCGTATATGGCGTTTGCGCATAAAAACATATTAGTCCGAGAGGCTGAGACATCCAAACGAAATAGTACTACATAAACGACACAAACACTTTGAACAATAAAAAAATTGCATTATTGAATACGAGCTAATTACCACTAAACTTTCGGTTAAATTGTAATCGTGTGTAATACATTGTAAAAATACGTTAGATCGTTTTTAAATGTAATCTTCAATGTTCAATATCTGCTAATGATGACACATAGCATCATATATCGAAACGTGTAAAATAAACATTTTAATTGTTTTTTTTTTACTGATTTTTCATCCCTTTGAATTAAAAAATTGTATACATTATCTGCAACCTCAAAACTAACTACCATACACATTTCTGAGTACTAGTAAGAAAAATTATAGAATTTCGAAGACGTTTTGTATTTTAACTACATAAAAACTCTATTTGTATAATGAGCTTTTTTATTTGTAGAAAATATTCATAAAACACCGTGATAATTGAGATCTTAAAATACTGATTGTGAGTAAATGCTTACCTTTTCGTGCAACAAATTATGAAGCACACTTCTAAATCTCAGTTACAATAATATTTGATTAGGTACTAGATTTATAAACTAAACTACTTTAATTTCTGAGTTGCATATTTATTATACATATCCAAATGCATAAAATGATTTTTAATAATGTAGCACAAAAATTACAAAAACACTTTGTAACTGAACTTTTTTTTATAAAAACTCATTAACATAATTTAATGCCGGAGTAATAAAAAGTTTATAATCCATATAAAATATTTTTTTCTTATTGTTAAAAATTTGCCTTCAATTCAATGTAGAAATAATAAATTTAAATGTACATATAAAATATTTTTTCTATTGAACTGTTGCTTTGCAAAATAGTAATAAAAAATACATTTGTTATGAGCATTTATTTTCAGTAGATTCAGCAGGATTACAACTGCAATTATAGATAAATCAATAAAACTTATGAATAATATTAAAAATTTGATACAAAATCAAAATTTTCACTATATGGTTTCTATCAACCTCTATAAATAAAAGACACCATCTAATTTATTATTTTAATTAGTTGAAGCTCTTATTTATAATTTAAATAATTTAGGATACAGTCTCAGTTTAAGACATCAAACACAAAAACATTTACATTTGGTCATAACTTTTTTTTTGCTGTTAGGTAAATTAAGTACAAATAATTAAAATTAAAAATTGTTGTTGAAAAAATGAATCAACAATTAATGTTTAATACTTAAGCCTTTCTGTTAATATTTGGATAGAAATTTTATAATATCTGAAGAAATATATGAACAGTCTGAATTAAATATTGAAATCATGAAGAGATAGATTAGGAAATAATTGTTTATGTTTCGGACTACAATTATTATAGTTTTTCTATACTCTCCAATAGTTATGTCATATGCAAATATGCCACATAATTATTTTTTAAATCTTTGAGAGAATATGAACTATTTTCATCAATGACAATAAAGCTTTCAGAAATAAACTATTTTAAAATAATAAGATCATCACATAGTTAACTTGGTCGAATTATGTTATAATCACGTATTATGTAAATTATTTAATATGAATATTATGTATTATATAGAATATTATGTCAATTCAAATGACATAGTTATTTTGTTCATTAATATTGTTCATCCACTTATGAGATTTAGCAGTTTCACTATTGACTATAATAAATAATTCTTTTTCCTTATTTCGCAGTTCGCTTTTTAAAAACTCAATTAATTCACTTTCGCTTCCTATAGGCTGTGGCGAGGTCAACTTTGAATCTAAGTTATAAAAAGTTCCTCTTATAGATTTAATAGCTATCCAATGTCTTCGCCTTAAAGGAAGCATTACAAAGCCGAGTTTGTAATCAGAAGGTACATTTAGTATAAATCCACAAATATTTTGAACATTTAATTGACTAGGATCCTTTCTTTTATCAAACCAAACTGCTTCGAATCCTTTGGTTTGCAAAGCAGCCATAATTACATTAATATCATAGTTTCCTAATCCTAAAACAGATTTGTGTGGATTTATCCAGACATCTGGTGCTAAGGAATTACATATTGTATCCAATTCCCTTTTATTGAAAAAACCTTCGACTTGGAATAGATTGTTTAGAGCATGCAAAGCACATAATTCTCTTACTTGCCGCTCGTGGTAAATGCTTGTTTGGGAACTCATAGTCTGTAAAAAATCAAAATATAGTATAAACAAATAATGTCAATTTTGTAACGAATCAATAATATTATGGAAATTTTGTTAATTATAAAATTATTAATCGTAACAAATAATTACAAAAATGTTCAAATTATTGTAAATACGTATGTTTGACTATTCATAAAACAAATATTACATAATATTTAATCATGTTTCCAAAAGTATAAATTATTTTTCTTACAAGAAGAAAGATATTAGGACTTAGTTAGATTTCTTGATAGATACTATAGATTCAAAATTAAGAATAAAGACGTTAAATTTATATAGTTTTTATTTATCTTTTGGACGTTTAATTTCAAAACTTTATTTAATTATATTACATAAAAAGTATAAATAATTGCGCATAAAAGAAATCAGGATATTATTAATTGAATACCTTAAATTTTGATTGTCATTGGTATTATATTAGTAAAAATTTCATTTTGGTTCACGTTTTAAGCGCATTTTGAAAATATTTGAATAATTTTGATATAAATGTTTTACAATGAAATAAATATGATTTTGACAGACATTTTTTACAACACTGTTGTCATAATTGAAAGTGTTGCCATATGATGTTTTCATTGTAGTGTTAGGGCCCTATCACACAATAAAAAAAGGAAAGGACAAGTATAGGGGAAGGGGACACATAGTAAAACTTGTTTCGAAAATCAAAATTGAAAATTTTATATTTCTTCACGTTTTGATGGTTTCTGAACATTTTGGCATACCTTAGAAAAATATTGATGTGTGTGTGTGTGTATGTTTGGATACAATTTTTTGTCCACGTTTTCGGGCGCACAGATCAACCGATATGAATGGTTCAAAAAGCATTCGATTCCTATTGATAGGGAGATGTGCTGATTAGTTTTTCGCAAAGGCAGTTCCAGACGTTACGAAGATACTGAGCAAAAAGTGCAGAAAATACAAATTGAGTTTTTGAGAGAACGGAGTATCCGATTTAAATGATCTAAAAAACGTTCAATTTGTAATGATTAGGAGAAGAGGTGATTAGGTTTTGGCAAAGGCAGGTCCAGCCATTTTGAAGATACAGACCTAAATGTTCAAAAATGGCAGTTTTTGAGAGAACTAAGCGTCCGATTTTAATGATTCAAAAAACTTTCTGCTTGTGTTGACGAAACGATTGCTTTTGGGGAAAAATCTTTTCTAATTTTGTAAAAAAAAATTTTGAATATCGAAAAATAGTTCTAAACATCACTTACAATACTTCAAATCATTATAATAATCTATTTGAAAACATTTAATATTTTTCGAATATTTCATTAGGGTACTGGAAGTTCCAGCAATTTGCCTTAAGGCACGATGCCATACACCACTAGTTTTTTTATATATATTTATGATATATTTTCAATATATAAAAAATAACAAAAATTGGATTAAAATCCTTATCTAAGAGTATAACGTTTTATTATGCTTTTGATTAATTATCAGAATTTCCTATGACATTGACCTCTAGGAATTCAGGTCAAAAAAAAGTCATCCGAAGTCGTTTAGAATAGTATTTAAAAACTCAGGTTAATTATTTATTATTTAAATATTAATTTGGTAACATTAAATATTGAAGCGGTAGAACTATGTGTATAAAATTTATAAAATCATGGAATT